CAAAGCACTTCTCGTGGTAAATGCGAAAGAAAATGCAAAGGGATGCAACATCTCGGATCGGAAAGGACTCGGTCGTCGACGATACGACCCGCTCTGCGCTGGATGCGGTCAAGTGGAAGGAGCTGGCAATGGGGAGCCCCAGCCCAGAGATGGGAACAGTATTCTATGTGAGGCCGAAACTGCGCCTTGTACAGTTGGTTTGCCGGCATGAAATACTGTCCCGCTCTGCTGAGCACGCCAAGCTTCTTAGAAGTCAATTTAGCCTTCTCTTCTAAGTGACCACGAAACTACACGCCACTCGATATGTCGACGCCGAGGATTCCGATACTGGGTTAGGCAACAAGGGGAGTGCCTTGAAACCGAGGAGATACGACAAACCGGTTCCTTTTAGCTGTAAACGCGCAAACTTGTGTCTTCTGAGGATTAAACTGGACTAGATTTATTCGCCCCCAATTCGAGACTTTGTTCAGCAAAGACTCTCCTTCAAATACAAGTTTGTCCCGGTACTCGGCGACGTTTTCCCGAGAAATATTGGCACGGCCGGTGTTAAGAGCATCACCAGTGCTGTCATCCGCATAGCTATGAATGTTACCGGTTTGCAACATATCATTGATATGCAGAAGAAACAGCGTTGGTGATAGCATGCAGCCTTGTGAAACACCAGCGGTAATAGGCTTATAGTCGGAGCACGCACCGTTTACAACGACCTTGATGGTCCGATCTGCAAGAAAGCTTGTGATCCAATTGCACAATTTCTCGGGAAGCCCATAGGAATGGAGCTTCGAAAGAAGTGCTTTGTGCCAAACCCGATTTAAGGCTTTCGCATTGTCCGAACTAACGGCCAATGCCTCCCTCTTGGCCTCTACTGCCTCCGCCCATCTATGAGTCAGGTAGACCAGAAGATCACCAGTTGATCGACCCCGACAAGAACCATATTGGCGGTCACTAATCAGCTGGTGATCCTCAAGGTACCGCATGAGCTGGCAGTTTATAATGGATTCCATTTTTTTGGAGAACAAGGAGGTGATGGCGATAGGCCTGTAGTTAGACGGGTCTGAGCGGTCGCTTTTTTAGAGATCGGGTGAACAAAAGCAGTCTTCCATCATTTCGGGACTACGCCTAGGGAGTAGGAGTACCGAAAAAGACTCGTTAGAACCGGTGCCAACTCCGGAGCACACGTCCTCAGCACAATTGGTGAGATTCCGTCAGGCCCACTCGACTTGTGGATGTCCAGGGAGAGGAGTGCTTTGTGAACTGAGCGCTGTGAGAACCGCACATCCGGCATCGAGTACTTCCACCGCGGGATCTTCGGCGGTGTGTTCCCCCGTTACCTCTTCAACTTAACGTTTAGGTTCAGTGTGCCTCTAACCATTCGGTGATCGCCACCTGTTTTCACTCTCGCGATCACTGAGACATCACTGAACAGTTGTCATCTTGTCGTCCTAATGATGTCAATCTAATTTTTTGTCGAACTGTCGGGGCTCGACCAGGTCCACTTCCTGTGAAGCCGCTTCTGGAAGAAAGAGTTCATCATGAAGAGTCTCTCTTTCTCCATGAAGTCGGCCAGCTGCTAGCCCCTTGGGTTTTGTTGCCCTATTCCAAATTGCCCTACCTTGCTCATCGTTCTCTCTTGAGCCTAGTTTTGCGTTGAAGTCTCCCATTAACTCCGTTTTTAAGGAATGCATGGCTCTAGATATATCCTCATACATTTCCTCCGGCTCCTCATCGGTATGCGTAAGCAACCCTTGTCGACAAATTATTATTTGTTAGGTGGTTACCGTGGTCATAGTTGTTTTCTAGTCGTTGCGAAAGGTACGATCTTTGTCCGGTCGCGCCTGTGACCCGGACAAGATAGCATTATCGACCAAGTGCAGTTGAATTAAAACAACACGCCTCAATCGTAACCCATGTATATAAACAAATAGCTAGACAGAGAGTGCTAACATTTGATTAGTAAAAATAAATAAAAATTATGGCAGCAGTTTATGACCCTGTTAATTTAAATGTTGCTCTTGTAATGACATTGCGAGGTGATGCAATGGTATTAATTCCGTTAAGGTTCTTGTACTATTGTTTACTCTGTGGTTAAGGTATCCACCTGATCCCTTAGTTATAAAGTAACTGTCTGGACTATGTTTTTTTTTGTCATTAAAAATATTACCCTCATACTAGGAACTTCTCCTGTATCGTGGAGCCGTTTTACATACGTAAACTGCACATGAATAAACACCCAGACCCTTTCTATACGTGGTAGAGCCATGCTGCAGCTATATTAGTAGTATAGTTGTAGCACGAATGGGTCGGCTCGGCCGGGGAAGGACCACGCTCTCACAGAATACTAGCGTAAAATAGCAGCTTAACGCTGCTGTGTTTCGTATGGTGAGTGTAGAGAACCTGAGACCCTTTTTACTGGAAAAGAAGCATTCCATCTTAGTCCTGCATTTTAATTCTTCATTGAGGATAAATGTAGAAGCCTATGGGTCACAGCAACCACTTACCATCAGGTGGACTGTGTGCTCGTTTGTCACCCAATCATATAAAAAAAAATCCCGTAGTGGTTGGGGGCACTAAGCTTGAAGTTGTTGACGAGTATGTTTACCCGGGACAAATAGTCCGACTAGGTAAGTCCAACTTCGACTTCGAGAGGTCAATGGACGTTTTCAGCTCGACTGGGCAGCGTTCAGGAAATTACGACACATTTTCTTTTCAGTTATACCTCAAAACTTGAAAACGAGATTGGTCCTTCACTGCTGGGCATATGAGGAAACTCTAGGTCGCTCTGCGATCTATGGAGAGGGCTATGCTCGGAGTTTCTCTGCGTGATAAACTTAGAAATGAGGTTATCCGCAGTGGAACCAGAGTGACCGATATCGCCCAACGGATTAGTAAGCTGAAGTGCCAATGGGCCGGTCATTTAGCTCGAAGAAGGAAGAAAGGTTCTCGAGTGGCAGCCTCATACCGCTAGGCGAAGTGTAGGGCGACCCGCCACTAGATAGAGTGACGACCCGGTAAGACATGCAGTTAGTCGATGAATGTGATGGATACTTCTTACGTTGAAAACAGATGCCAAATTGTTATTCTCAATGGCTATTCCTCTAAAGGTGTTTATACCGCGGTTTTCTTTTTAATTTTTAAATTAAATTATGTTTGCTAATTACTCGTTAACATATCCCTACCCTATATAATTACAAGCTCTTGAATATGCCAATTCACTTGGAAGAGAAGGCCAAATTGGCCTCTAAAAATCGGCTCGACTTACTGGCGCTGCGAAGAGATGTTGTATGCCTTTGCATTTTCTTTCGCATCTACCACGGGTAGTGCTCTGAGGAATTGTTCGGATTAATCCCAGCCGTTAAATTTCACGAACGCACATCGCGGCATAATTCCCGATTCCACCCACACCATCAGGATGCTTGGCGGCCCACACTGTACGTTTCACTAGGAGTTTTCTTCCGCGTATGAACTCTCTGTGGAATAGCTTACCACCGGCGATTTTTCCGGACCGATACGACTTAGGGACCTTCAAGAAAAAATCTTACTCCTTTCTAAAAAGCCGGCAATAAACCTACAATTCCCCTGGTGTTGCAGTTGTTCATGAGCGGCGGTATCCTTAGTTCGAATCTATACAAAAAAATTCCTAAGACACCTGCAATTCCGTTCTAACAAATACGTATCCGATATTAATGTACTCGCTGTGATAAATTTTATATACTTACTTCCTCCACACGAGCGAAGAAAAATAGCAGATTTGTGCTAGGTATCTTTTAAATATTTTTAGCGACACACTTGAGTGTCCAGAGTTAACTGTATAAAATAGGGCTGCACACAGCATCGGAGACACTAAGAAAAATAATCTTCTGCACATCCCTTTACATAAAACTATCTATCGACAAAATTCATTTTTATTTTTTTTATACATACATTTAATAATCGTCAGTTGTCGGTTGAATCGACGGGGAAGAAAGGTTTTTGAGTGTCAGCCTCGTACAGGTAAGCGAAGTGTAGAGCGGCCACCCACTAGATGGAGTTACGACTTAATACGACATGCAAGAAGTTAATGGATGCAGGTGGCTTAGAAACGTGTGTGGCATTCCTTGCGGAAGGCTTTTGTTCATCAGTGGACTTACGAAGAGCTGTAAAGATGAAAAAGAATGAAGTTTTGATATCTTGCATTCGATTTGGACAAAATTAAATTACTGACAGCTCGGTGGCGGATGGCAGTAGCTACAGCTACCTACACTACCTACACACCTACACAGTCCTTGCGAGGATGTACAGAGCAACGAATGAACGAATAATGCCCTATACCCTTTACATCCCTACGCAACTCGGACTCACAAATAGATAAATTTATTTTACAAACCAGTTTAATATATTCTATAAATGTGTATTCAATTAAGTTGCTGATTATAAACATAGACTACATTGAATGATTATGATAACAATTATTTTAAAATAGACTAAACAGTGCAGCATATCATATTTAATACAAAACTAGGTTATATGTGGCGTCTGCATGTTCATAAGTAGAAAAGTGGAATTGTTTCTATACTTCAGACATCAAATTATAAAATCAAGAAACACAATCTTAGGATTATCCATATCAGCGTGAGATATATCAGCAGAGCTCTATATTAACAGAAGCAATCATTGCTCATAAATACTTAAATAAAGTGAGGCAAATAACTAAAACACTTTTGAATAAAAATAAATAATTTTATTGCTAGTCGATACAGCGGTTTATAAATAAAAACACAGATTAACCGACAACTTATCTAACAATAATAGGAAAGTTTTTATTATTCGCCATTGTAAATGGACGTCTACTTAGTAGTTACAAACATCATATCGTCCCTCGACCCCGTGACATGCGCACTGATATCCGTCAGAGTGAGAAGACAACATAGAGAGCGTGCCGTCTGATTCGGTTGCGACCTAAGAGTTTCCACTTACGTGCTCATCAGGTACTAGTGTTAAAATTAATCAAATAGCCCCTTTCTTCAGAGAGGCAAATTAGGCGGTGTCTTACAAGGCTCTGGAGGCGGCGGCCGACGGTCCTCAGGGGAACGTGACTGATAATAAGCACAGTACGGTAATGGGTCCCAGTATGTAAACAGAGCTTCGCGTGTGTCCAATACCGTATTCAGGAGCTTCCCCACAGTGGCTGCATGTCCACAGCGCGTTTGCCCCTGACACAAATACGGTAGCGACACACCTACTCGCGCTCCAATAGCCACCAATCTATTTCCCTGACCATTCATTATATTTTCTTCGCGTACCAATCTAAATGATACATGGCCCGTCATGGGTCTAGAAGGAGAGAGACGGGATACAAATCTCTGCACCCAAGCGTCAGCTTCTTTATCTTTTTGGGGCACTAAACCTTTCTTTGAAGATTCAACGCGGCAGATCACGTTATTGACCGCGCGAGATTCCTTTAAAGTAGTGCAAGTTATAATCTTCTCTCCCTTTGGTTCTCTTACAATAACCCAAGGCTTTTCAGCGCTAATTTCACGCGGAAACTTAAATTGAGTTTTCTCTTCAGGCATGACAAATCGCAGACGGTCTCTTGCACCCCGAGTACCAGCACTTGCAATAAAATGTCGCCCTTCTTTCGAAGCACCGCTTTCATACCAAGCCCTGACATCATCTTCGCTTGCCACGACCCAGAACTGCGGCGTGGAAAGCCCAGCTGCCCGACTCACTCGAATTAACTCAAGTGGGTCATCCAAAACTACAACATCGCGAGCACTTGGCACGAAGCACTGACATCCTATCACTTCTAGGTGCGGCTTAGCTAAAGCGTCATAGTAGGCCGGCGTTGTTGAATTCACTGGTACGTAGAACACCACAGCTTCCCTTTCCGCAATTTCTTTTAGGGCACGCGCGTATGCCAGTGGATCCGCAGGGTTAGGTCTCGGCACTGTATAAAATCTGTTGACTGCTGCTGAATATTTTAGTAGAGCAAAGTGCCCTTCTATTTCGAATGCGACAACCCTCGCTCCGGCGGAGTGGAAGTTTCTCGCTAAATGTAACGCTTGTATCGAACTGCCTCCACTAATCAATACGGTACGTTGTTTCTTCGAATCTTTGGAGATGGCGCGTGCGAGCACTTTAAAAACTCCAATGGGACACTGAACACACTTCCAGAAGATGAATAGCGATGCTGCAATCCATAAAGTAGGTAAGACCACGAGTATTTGCTTCCAAGCGGGATGCGTGATGATGCTCAGCAAGGCGAACAACGGCCGCAGACACAGGCGTGGAAACCAGGTGATTATGCGCAGGAGCCTGGGTAGCTGTGGTGGTCTTTCAGGCGACACAGCGCGTTCCTCTGGTATTAGTGAAAATGTCGAAGAAAACGAGCGCCTGAGGGTCGTAAATGGAGGTGGTTGGTGAGGGCATCGTTTGACTCGGGGAGGTAACACAAGTTCGTTGTGCTGTCGCGCGAGGCGGCTATACTCTGGCGCGCAAGCTGGCATGGCGGTAAACTGACGCGCGCGCATCCCTCCACCATATATAAACGCTCGCTTATCGCTAAAACCGGCGCCGCGCTCCTCGAGATACAACTTTGCACCCAATTAACGATTGCCTATTTAAAAAAAATAAACAAATGCGGGAAATAATTCAGGAGCTATTAGTAATTCGGATCCTCTATTAAAGTTCCATTCAATAATAAGTTAAGTACCTAGAAATATATACATTTAATGATAGCATTTTTTAAATTATTCTTTGATCGAAATTTTCCTTCTATTGGTATACTAGCGATCCGCCCCGGCTTCGCATGGGTGATTTCTGAATATATTCGAGATTCAGATGTGGTGTTGTTGCGTGGCAACTATGGCAAATATCCCCCCTATGAAGCAATCTATGGGGGAGGCCCATGTCCAGCAGTGAATGCACACTGGAATTTTATAACAAAGATTATGACCGAAATTTCAATATTTAAAACGAATTGAAAATCTGAAGGGTTAATGAAAATATGATTATCATGGAACAACTTTAATATAATTATCAACAATATTTTAACCACTACATCGATATATCGATAAATTTAGACAAACAATCTTCAGTAAATGCCTACTATACAACTTGAACTCAGCCTTCTCTCCTATTAAAAATAAAATACCTATTTACCGCTACCCGAAGTACACATAATTCATAAATTCAAAAATATTGTAGGGACGATTAAATCTAAACACTAACAAAATATTTATAATATAAAACTGTTTTTGTTCAGATGGTTTTAGAAATACAATAATTTTGAAACTTCCAAATCTGATGATATTACGTTAGAACTGCAACAATTATTTCCTACATTGTAGCAATCTAGGTCATCCTTGTAGCAGCAGTTGCGCCTACATTTTTATTCTGGTTAGAAGGGCAAGGTCTTAGCTTAGTACTCAGGTATGACAAGGAGAAAACAAAGGGATAGACTTTTTTGTTTAGATGCCTAAAGACTAGTGTTCACTTCTCATTCATCACGTGTACCTACTGAAAACTCATTTGTTACTATCATAAAAGAAAGATTTACGGAAGGCTAGGGCTGCGGCACTTTGGAATGAGGTGAAATATTTCACAGATTTCATAGCGGGAAAATTACATTGTTTTGAAAAGTGTAATGATTTCTTTTCTTAAATATTATTAATTACATTTTATATTAATTAAATTAGAAACGGATAAACCAAACTACGGATATACCTTAAAGTACAAGAATAAAAAAAAAACATGTGTGCAGTTCTCACGCGGTAGAAGTAAAAACTTCAGGTAAGGGGACCGAGATAGTAGGAAACACTTTATACTGTCATTTTATCTCTTTCTCTCGCAAGCTAAATCCTACAGATGTATTTGTTTGTCTCTTTTTTGTGTCGCTTTTTCGTTTCATTGAGTTTTAAATTATAACGATTCTACAAAAATTTTCACTTCAAAAAAAGAGGCACTTGACTGAGGCATTGTTTTTACATTAGAAATCAAAAAGATTTACGATAAAATTATTCCACCTCAGTCCCAAGTTCCATGTAACGTCATCTAGTGAGCAGAAAATTATTAGCCCTCATTGCCGACATCCACCATTGACAAAATTAATTTACAGTATTACAGATCTTTATATTACCACAAGTCCTCTAATACAAACTAAAGTCAATCAATTACCATTAAAGCCACTCCCACCTGACCTCTATTTTAGATACAATATCTACGTAACTTGAGGCTTTTTAATATTTAACTAAAATATAAAAACATAATTTTGTATAAGGCAGGAAATCTATCATAAATAAAGACTAGTATTACAAATTAAATTACAATGAAAATGAATAATCTATTACTATGATCTACGAAAAATAATTTAGTGTATGTACCTACTAAAAATAAATAAGATAAAATTGATATGGATTCAGTGTGGAGAATCATACCACGATTAATATCAATGATGCTATAGACATAACTAATTAATTCAAACCTTAGAATAATAACAACTCACTATCACTAATCCAAACCTTAGAATAAAAGCGTAGTAATTAATCAAAAGTTAGAACTACAAACATTATAAACATTTAGTTTTTGATACATTAAATTAAAAAACCGTATGTCACATAATCACAAACTTTCAGCATAGTTTACAAAAATATAATGGTCATTATATATATATATACTATACAATTTTGCATACAGTTAAAAATTAACGATAACATATTAAATACTTTTATGTTAATTATCATTATTATTATTATATATTCATATATATATTTGGTAAAAAGGTAAACAGTATTTATATGATGCTTATGATTTAGTTTCTGAAAAAGATTAAGAAATTAATGACACCTTAACACAATAGTTGAATTAAGTTTGAATTTTGAAATTTATTATTTCATATAAATAACAATATAGAAAATTTTATAGTGATATAAAGCCATAATACTATTAATCAGTTAACATTCTATTTTGCCAAATTAGGACTCTATGCAATTATTCCAATCCAAGTCTATGAAAGTACACAACTGTTAGAAAGTTCTTTATTTATGTAACATTTCATATTTATGAAATATTACACATAATATATTGAAAGATTTTAATAGCACAAATATTTCATCATTTTGGAATTTTTAAACTTCCAGATATTGTTCTTAAATTCGCTAAAATTATCAAAACATTGTTAATACAATTTATAAAAATTGGATTGAATCAGACTACAGAAGTTGTTTAAAATAACAATACCATATTATAATAAAAAAAGAGATGTGTTTTAATTAGAAATATTGTTTAGTAGCATTTATCAAATGGCTTTATTTGTAACTTTTTATGATATATGAATAAAATATAGCCTAAATCTCTCTTAACCCTTTCGCTGTCCCGTGCACTATATATAGGGCACTGCTATTGTCTTACTATTGTGTCTGGAAACCGGACAGTGAAAGTGTTAATATTGCTATCGGTACATGTAGTTCAATTACAATCGGTTCAGCCAAAGATTAGCCTAGACAAACAGGCTAACAAACAGACAGAAAGCCAAAATTTTTAAAAATGATTATTCGCTTCTTAATAGCATGTAAATTACCCCTTGAGCTTAATAGAAGAAAGTTATTTTGTTATTACAGATGCAGACAGCTATATTTAATTTTTTTCATGTATGATGGCTCATGGAAGACAGGAATATACTGATGATATTATATATAACTGTGTAGATATCTAACAAGAAAAATTTCAATGAATGTTATTACATCATGGTACACATATTACTTGTAATGTGGTTCAATTGTTTTACGTTTACTTTGTATGTTACGTACGTTTTACTTTGATGTTACTCTTTCTTGTGCCAAAAGCCCTTTTGAAGAGAAGAAATACCCAGCAGAGTATTATATAAGGAGGAGTCCATTAATTACATGAGGTGTTTAAGGGGGGAGGGAGGGGGATCGAGCCGAATCACACCCAATCTCATGTGGGGGAGAGGGAGGTAAAATTTTGAGAAAAATGCTAAATTTAAAAAAGAAAAATATTGGAACAAAATTTTCATAAATTAATCAATAAATATCACATTTATGCGAATTCTACAAATTATATAAAAATTATTAAGCAAATTATGTTTCTTTTTTTAAATAAACCCAATGCAATCGAGATTAACATATTTATACTAAAAATACGCATTTTGAAAAATCTCACGTGAGATTTGGGGGGGGCGGGGGGTAGGAGTCGAACCACATCTCACTGCATCTCACCGGGGGCAGGAGAATGGTAGAGAAATCGCCAAAATTGTCTTAAGTAATTAATGGACACCCCTAATATCACATTTAAAAACTCCAGGCCTTGGTATCCAATTTTTTAATTTGAACAATAAAATAAATAATAATCAGAAATTGAGTATGAGTTTTATATATTATTAATAATTTACATATTTTGCAAAAATAAGTCTTTTACATACATACATTCATAAACACTCACGCCTGTCACCCAGAGGGGTAGGCAGAGACTATGGACTTCCATTTGGCACGATCCTGACAGACCTCTCTCGCTTCATCCACATCCATATACCTACGCATACACACTCGTTGGTTAAAGGTACTCTTGATTTGGCCCATTTTCAATAAATCGCCAATTTGATCAATAAACTTTCGCATAGGGCGTCCCTTCCTTATTATTTGGTAATTTAAGTAATATGTGAATTTCAGTTACAAGGTAACAAAAAAATTGATTGATATATATATATATATATATATATATTATATATATATCAATCAATTTTTTTGTTTAATAATATAATATATATATATATATATATATATATATATTTGTATTATGGAACCAATAATAATTTTAAAGAACATAAAAAAGGGTGAACACATTCAATGTATAACAAGAAATATTTACTTATTTTTTATCTTTTTCAGGAAGTTACTGGTCACACTAGTAATTTACTAGGGATGCATCGTTAATCGTAAATTGCACATGCACAGACCTGAAACAACTATTACTATACAAAAAACAGAGCCAAAAAAAAACAGAATAAATAGAAAAACAGAAAATTTATGTTTAGAGAAAAACAAAAATAGAAACTAATAACTATCTGGCATTTATATACCTGTAACCAGTAAACCTATTTTAATCATATAAATAACAAAATTATTATTTGTATTATTAAATGCCATCATACCAGTACAATATTACCCTTACACAGTTCTAATAACATAATATAATGTATAACATTGCACTCAGCCTATTTTGAATGGAATTTTCCAATTCCTTTAATCACAAATATCTTGAAGGTATTAATGACTTGAAAATATAACACAACTATAAGCAATTAGAAGAAAAATAAGAATAAGTATGAATTATAGATCACATAAGTGAAATTAATTTAATACCTCATTATACAATAAAAGGTAAATTTGTCTCTTTCAGTTCAATGGTACCATTCCTACATACTATATGCAATTCACTGGGTGAATCTCTTTCAAACCTAAACCGTTTTGGATGCGAGTCATCCATAAACCTTCCCAGCTTCAAGATTTTGTCATCAACTGTTATTTTCTCAGCTATTAAATTGGTGGCTGGCAAATTATTAATAATATCAGGCATAAGCAACTCGACCTTACCCTTTTCATGTATGAATATACTGCTTTTGTCTGTCAATTGTGATGCATGCATAAACACATCTCCACTTTTTAAAGATGCTTGTAAGTTTCCACAAAAACCGGTTATATACAGATTGCCCTGTTTAATTACATCTATCATTACTGATCTGTGCAAGTGATCCAGACGAATATTACCCATAAGGGTAGTAAAGTGAGATTTATCACTGTAACACGACTTAACAGCAATTGGACCAGCATGTGTTTTTACTATAAAAGAATTAGCCATAATGTTGTGACATTTTATCCCTGAGTTTAGACTGGTTTTCAATTCAATATTTGAGGCCTGAAGCTTACCACCTGTTTGTATTTCACCTTCTGTACTTTTCACTTTAATATTGTCGGCTTTTATATCTGTAACGTTCACATTTCCTTTTTGGGTTTTTACAACAAATTCTGGTCCTTCCAATTTTGCTAAATGTACTGAAGCACTATCAGTAGTTGTGACCTGAACATTCAATTTATATGGCACTTGGATCACGCAGACGTCATTCCTATCCGAAGAAGTGTTCTTATTCAATAGTTCTAACCGTTTAGAAGTCTGTTTTACTTGAAAATCGCTTGCATCATTACCTTCACTGTACAAAGTCATTGTAAGTTTGTTGTGGGCTTTAATATCATTCACATCTATGGGTTGTACCTTAACATGAATAGGACTCTCTATAAAGATGCTTGTATTATTATCTATCGTCTTTTCCACTGTTCTCACAATGTTTAACTTTTTTATATCGGGCAAACTACTAAAGTCTACTACAGTTAACCTCAAAATTTTGAGGCACTTATGTAAGACACTGTGCCTTGTTAATAAAAACATTATGATTGATTAGTACCTTGTACCAATTATTCTAACATTATACTTTTGTTGAAAACAAATCATAGAATTTTCATTATAGTGCAGTTTACGGCTTTTTAATTGACAGTTGACACCGGCATTGATTGTTGTTGTTGTTTTTATTATTCGCTCGAGAGAGCAGGCAAAGGAACTATGCCATACAGCCTTGTCTTTATGTATAATTATCCTTCATAGTTCACTGCTTCACAATATGTTGATGCGTCACATTGTGCAGCCCTTGGGAGATTTTGACGGCAACTTGAGCCAGCAGGCAGCTGACAGTTGGCGATGGTATCTAAAGGCGCCTATGCAAACAAACAGCTTATCTTGAGAATCCATCACCATCAGAGCACTTGTTTCACCGTTTCCACTAATAGTTCACATGTGTAGACAGTTAATACATAAAATCGCACCACTTTTACATATCAAAATCCACTTCAAAACTATTATTTAAACTATAATACAGGAGCAGCAAACCGTCGCCGATCAAGTTCCCGCCAAAACTCCTACCGGCATTGACGTTTGACGTCGACATTTCAGATTGTCATAGATACTGTTGTTGTTGTTCGTAGATAGAGGATTGTTGTTGTTACGATTCGCATTTTAAGACAGGCAAATTTCTTAGACGATAGAACCTAGTCTGACCTATTTATTTAAAAAACATTTGGAAAGTTTTTGATAGATTTTTTACGAAAGTCTTACCTAGCGAACAGTTACTTAATGACGATAGTATCTCAAAGGGCTACAAAACTTGATATTTATATCACTATCGAAACACTCGTTACATCGTTTCCATTAATAATTCACATGCACAGACATTTAAAGCTTGTTAGCTATACTGGCATAGATCCCTTTGCCTATGTAAAAAATATTGTAATCTTTCATATTTTGACATATCGGCATATCGCCATCCATCCATTGTCACTATTGTTTTCCAAAGAGTATAATAATATATAAAGAAGTTGTTTTCTTTTCTATAATAAAAACAAAAACTTATGTAATATGTTTATTCAATAACAAAAGGCATTTAGATATTAATGAGCGAACGTCTTTGCGCATTGTTATTGTACTTAACGTTATTGTACTTAGTATTATAGTTAAATGCAATTAATATAATAAATATTAAATGCATGTAATGTGAATAGCATAGATTGGTTTCGATAATCTTTCCTTCGGCCAAAAACAAATTTTTCAATAATGAATTCAAAAATAAAAGAGACTTTTTCTCGTATGAAGCCAATATGTGATATGGTTATGGTATGCCCATCTCCAGGAAATGTAAACAGATTTATGAGTATTGTGTCAGAATTAAGGAAGGAAGATGTTCAAGAGTTGCAACAGTACCTGCTATTTCCTTTCATCACACACATAAGATCTACAGAGATTAAGTATGTCACTATATTTTTCATGTTACTAAATACCAATTTATAGTTAGTATATTTATAGTGATTCAATATTCATTACTTAATTGTCATTTGTATTGATTTCAGAAATAAACATGAACAGCAAAGAATTGTTATTGATGCAATGAAAGTTGTGTTGGAGAAAGTCACTGTAAACAGCTTCGAAATGTGTATGAAAATTGAAACTGGACTGCTTAGCTTAACCTTTGATAAAAATAAACCAGGAATGAGTAGGTTTTATGTTGTAAATTTTTATAAAACTTACAGACTGGTACAGAGTTGGCCAACCTTTTTATGAAATATTATTATAAAAATAATATTAATATTAATATGTGGGAAATATTTTTAAAGTAAAAATTATAAACAGAATTATATTTAAATACTTTAATTATTCTCCACGTGCTTGGGGTGAAAGAAAACATCGCGGGGGAAACGTACATGTCTGAGAAATAAGAAAAACAATTATTTTGAAGGCATGCGTAGTTTGCCAACACGCATTGGAACAGCGTGGCAGACATTTACTTGCCCTAAAAACCCTCTCAGAAATGAGAGGATGCCTGTGCCTAGCAGTGAAACACATATATAGCCCGTAACTTTAACTTTTTAACTTTAATTATTAAAATATGATCATGACAAAAATCGTGGAGATAACTTATAATAAATGCCTTAAGACCACCATCTCTTATCTGAGTTTGCAACCTTTGAATTTTTAATGAAGACATAGATACTATTTCATTCAGAATTTAATTCTGAATGAAATAGTATCTATGTCTTCATATTTTATTTTATTCATATTATTACACCAGATCCCTACCACCAAAATCAAAAAAAAATCCACCAAAATTAATTGGTTATGTTTCAAATACTTTACAACACCCATGGTCATGTAGGTACAGAGGTATTTGACATACCTATGTTATAATTAACCCAGGTTACCTTGAGCTTTTAATTATTATTTTAAGTCCCATCTTCCCAGAACGAGCTTACTTTACCTTGAAGTCTTGCAGTGGTGTGCTTGGGTTTGGATTTATCATTTAATAACAGAATCCCAAACAGGACACAACTGCACTTTTCTAAATTCAATGGCGTCGCAAATAATTTATAGTAGAAGTATTCTTTAGCGAGGATTTGTGGTTCATCAAATCTGATGTAATGGCTTTCTAGGATATGTTTCATGTTTACTTTCCAGATAAGTTGACTACTTGGTTCAATGTTCAAGATACAATAAGCTCGTTCAGCATAGATCAGGCCAAAACTAATGGTTGAAACCTAAATGGAATTGTAAGTTAACATTGGGATGTCAAATATCTCAGTCCTCCACATGACCATGAGTGTTGCAAAGCACTAGGAAAGGTCAGGAATCAAAAATAAAAATAAGTTAAATATATATATATATATATATATATATATATATATATATATATATATATATATATATATATATAATATTTAAACACAATGGAATGTTTTCATATCATAATATTGGTTTTATTTAAAAGGCATTTTTGGTAAACAGTTTTGGCAGTGTTAAAAATTTCAGACAAGAATTTGGTTTTTGAACTTGCATATTTTAATGCATTTATAAATTTCTTCTAGTTGCTGAAGTTCCTGAAGAGTTAAAACTGAGTATAATGAGGTGTCTTACTGTCCTAATGTTGAATATTGATTCAGCTGTTAGGCTGAAACTCTTGAAAACCCAAGTTCCTTTACTAGCCCAGACCATATTCATATCTGTACATATAGCTAAACTTGAAAAATTAAGATCACTAAGGTAAGATTTTCAAAAAAAAACTTTAATTTTAAGGTTGAAATCAAAAAAATTCAGGCAACAAACGTAGAAAAATAGACTTCTGTTTATTCAATATTTAACTTATTGTTTCATTAATAGGGGTTTGCCAGTCGCCATGATTGGCGGGCGGGTTGGCAATAACAGTTTTTTTTATTATTTTTAGTTGCTATCAGGAAGATACTGCTACCCTTTCCTGTTTCAGTTTTCCTCTGTCGCCTCTTACGCCCATACAACACAGCAACCGCTACTACATGTGCACATACAATTTGCAGAAAAAAATAATATAGAAAATAATTTGCGTCCAATTGTGTGTGTGAGCGCGTATTCTTACAATAAGCTGAGCATGGTTTCGGCGTCACTTGAAATAAACATAGTGTTTTGTCTATCTTTTCTTGTTAGATACATAGGCGCTTGCTGTAAATTTCACAGTACGAAAGCAGCCAGGTTAAATCTTTGTTGACACCAAAGAAATTGTTAGTTGCAATTTAAATTGATTTACCACGTGCTCGGTGGCGATGAAAAACATCGTGAGGGAAGCTACATGTCTGTTAAGTTAGAAAAGAAAACCATATTCTTAAGACATTTAACTTAAGACATTTCCTTGCTCTAAAAACCCTCTCAGAAATGCGAGGATACTTGTGCTCTGCTGCACTGCTGTGGGACTTATATAGTCTGTAACTTTAACTTATATCTACCGACTTCAAAAAGGAGGAGGTACTCAATTTGATTGTATGTTTTTTTTTTTATGTGTTTTACCTCGTAACTTTTTTGTGGGTGAACCGATTTTGATGATCCTTTTTTTATTCGAAAGCTGGTGCTTCTCATGTGGTCCCATATCAATTTGATCAAGGTGTGACCAGTAGTTTTTGAGTTATTCTTAATAATTTATATTGAAGTCGGTTGTACAACATTTTTTATTTTAAATGATTACAGATTAGCTGCCATTAACAATGTAATGGCGCATACTGCGACACATGAACAACTTACAGATGATATGTGCCATATAAGAGATGGCAATCTTGAAACTTTAGTAGTTGATATGCTTTCAAGTATACTGCCTGGCGTACTAGCAGCATTACAAGATGTTGCCATGTGTAAAGAAAATCCAGGACATGCTGTTGTTGTGGTAATCTGGCTGTAATAACACTTCTTTTTCAAGATTAAATAAGTTTTATTTGTAATTGTTGCTATATTAATCTTTTAATTACCATGTAGTGACAGTGTAAGAATATCCACTATCCCATATAGTCCCACGGCTATTGTAATAGGCGACAGAAGAAGTCAAACCATGGGCTGCAGCATCTTCCTAATAACAACTAAAAATTAAAAACTGCGGCTACAAACCCACCTTTCAAGTGTGGCAATTATGGCAAATACCCTCCCAATTAGGCAATTCATGGGTTAGGTTCTATGTTTAGCAGTGGACTTTTGATAGGCTGTGCCGATAACTGATTGTGTATTCGCGAGAATGCGGAACCAGTTATTGTCATTTAAATAAAAATTTAATCTTTGATTATTCCAGCAATTAATTTATCACCCCATTCACGTGTGTAAGAGGTCACTTTTTTTAAAGAAGAGTCAAACGAGCATGCGACTCACCTGATGGTGAGTGTCGACCGCCGCCAGTAAACAATTATAACACCAGGAGATTTGCTGGTGCGTTGCCGGCTTTATAAAAACAGTCATTTCGTTAATATGAGAAATTTGATTGAGGAAGAAGCATCAATATTGCGAAATGTCATATACGAAATAGGCAGATTAAGAATATGGATATATTATTAGCTCGCCAGCAAAATGTGGCATTTATGACAAATCCTACCTGCCAATGAAAAGACTCACTTTTAGAAGTAAAAGAATAAGAATGTATGATTTAATTTATTTCAGGCAGCACTGAATGCAACACACCGCATACTTTGCCTGACAATGCATGACAAACATTTGAACAAGAAGACCGATGTGACAGCTGAGGACTTTGCCAGCATGATTGCTTTAAAAACCAAATCCATAGACAAAGATGTAAGCAGTAAGGGTAATTAATTTAATGATTTCTTATATTTACGCGAACACTCGGGGGCACACTTACGGGGGCCGTCTAGGATATGATCAGACAGCTCCCACCATTACATTATATTTGATAAATACCACAAATTCTTGCGAAAGAACATCGATTCCTGCCAAGGATGATACGTGAGGCCATTGAAATTAAAAAACATCCTAATTTCAATAGAGAGGGAGGCTGGGTACTACCACCTGCTTGGGATCCTGTAATTAATAAAATTAAAACTAAACCCAAGCATACCATTGCAAGACTTCAAGACACAGTAAGTTCATTCTGCTTAGATCGGACCAAAATTAATAATTAAAAAAGCTTAAGGTACTCCGGATAACTCTGACATTGGGACGTCAATCACCTCAGTCCCCCCATGACCATGGGTGCTGTTAAGTACCCGAAACGTCGGGAATCAATAAAAAACAAAGACGATTAAACGCGATAAAATCTGTAAAAGTAAGTAATTAATTTCTTTATATATAAAATTTAAGTGAACAGTCATTTCGTTAATATTTTGCCTCATGGTACGAAAGTAAGTTGTGGTATTTTTTACGCCGCTACCACACGGCGAGGAGCCGAGTCAGTTCTTTCGGCTTTGTCGCTCGTTTAGCACCACCCGGGGACACGTGTAGGGTGGGCCAAGGATTAGGTGGTCGAAGCCTACGGACGCGAGCGACTCATCCCCCAAACAGATTTAGCAGGGATGGTAGATATGATAAGGATATAGAACGACGAGTGAATGCAGGAAATAGAGTGAATGGGGCTCTACACTCTATTGTGAAAAGTCAGAATGTGTCCAAAAAGGCACGTATGGCAATTCACAATGCTGTGTTAGTACCTACTTTAATGTATGGTAGTGAAAGTTGGGTGTGGCAGAAGAAGCATGAGAGTAGAATAAATGCTGTAGAAATGCGGTCATTAAGGAGTATGTTAGGGATGAAGCTGAATGACAGAGTGAGAAATTGTTTAATAAGAGAAGAGTGTGGTTTGCACAATGATGTTGTGACCAGGATTAAGAAAGGAATGCTTCGGTGGTTTGGCCATGTAGAAAGAATGAATGAGGAAAGAGTGACAAAGCAAATTTATGTTGCAGAGGTGAACGGCATAGTCGGGAAGGGTCGCCCTAGGCAAAAGTTTATCGACCAAATTGGCGATATATTAAAAATGGGCCAAATCAAGAGTACCTTTAACCGACGAGCGTGTATGCGTAGGTATGGATGTGGAGGAAGCGAGAGAGGTGTGTCAGGATCGTGCCAAATGGAAGTCCATAATCTCTGCCTACCCCTCTGGGTGACCGGTGTGAGTGTTTATGTTATGTTTTTTTTTTTGAACAGTCATCTAACAGTCCACCTGGTTACATGGCTGTCGCAGTCCACGGACACCTGTAGCCAGCTTCAAACAAAGAAGGCTGCAGATGCGCTTTGACTTCTGAGGACTAATGTGGAATGCCTCCCAACCTGTAACTATACTGATTCTCTATTTAGAGTGGAACACAGCTGTGTAGGCACTGCCATTTTGTGGCTGAAATTGGTAAAACTGAGGAGTACACCCCACTAGATGGAGTGACGACAGTAGTAAGACATGCAGGAAGTCGATGGATGCAGGTGGCTCGGTACTAGACATGGAACGAGTAGTGATTCGCCGAGTACTCGGCCACCGGGTACTCGGCCTAGATTGGGCCGAGTACTCTGCCGAATACTCTGCTTTTAAAAACTTTTTATTGGGTGAACCGATTTCGATGATTCTTTTTTTATTTGAAAGCTGGTACTTCTCGTTTGGTCCCATATGAATTTAATCAAGGTCAGACCAATAGTTTTTGAGTTATTGTTAATAACTTATATTAAATTTGTAGGTACAAAATTTTTAATTTTAAATTATATATAGTTTATGTTTAACATCGTCGGAATTTTATATTGATCCATTACAGCCTAGAAAAGTCCACTGCTGAACATAGGCCTCGCCTCCCATAGGATTTTACTATAGTTGCCACGCTTGGCAAGCGGGTTGGCAACCGCAGTTTTTTATTATTTTGAGATGTTATCAGGAAGATGCTGCTGCCCATCGCCTATTTCAGTTTCCCTCAGTTGCCTGTTACGGCATCCACGGACGATATGAGTTAGTGGATATCCTTACACCGCCACTACACGGAAATATAAACTGTAACGCCGAACAATTGAGATCATAAACGTGAATCAACCAGTACCAGTACCAAAAAACTATCGCGCGTACGAGAACGTGGTACGTTTTATACGTGGTAGAGCCATGCTGCAGCTATATTAGTAGTATAGATGTAGCACGAATGGGTCGGCTCGACCGGGGAAGGACCACACTCTCACAGAATACCAGCGTAAAATAGCAGCTTAACACTGCTGTGTTTCGTATGGTGAGTGTAGAGAACCGGAGACCCTTTTTACTGGAAACGAAGCATTCCATCTTAGTCCTCACGGGTGTTGTCAATTTGATTCGTAATTGACGATAGATGTAGATGTCTATGGGCCACAGCAACCAATCACCATAAGGTAGACTGGGTGCTCGTTTGTCACCCTTATTCTATAAAAAAAAAACACGTTTTTATCACTTATATTTGCATAATATAGAAAAATATTCTATTAAAAAAAAATTTATCTGTTATGTTTATAGGTGTTAAGGATATTGCGAGGAGGTCGCCAGAATGGTACGCTATGGCTGGAGAAAAGCTAACACTGGTGATTAAAAGTCTCGTACCGCTGAGTACACATGAAAACGTCAAGATAAGGAAAGAACTCGCTGTGCTCAGTGCGAGGATACTGAGAGAATGCAACGCGTAAGTCTCAATATTTCGGAATATTACATTATGGGATAAGATCAGGGATGTTTAAATATCTAATTATGTAACTCACACAGAATTATAGCGAAATATTGTTGCGACAGTGAGACATTTTTACAAAATGAAGTCATATTTTGTAAGGAAAATGTAAAGAAAGATTGTTACTGTTACAGCCTATTAAAGCCCACTGCTGCATATAGGCCTCCCCCACAGATTGCTTCGTAGGGGGAATATTTGCTATGCGGTACATTTATTCCCATAAGTTTACAAACCAAATAACACAGTATCTTTTTCTTCATCATCATCAGCCCGAAAATGCCACAGCTGGACATGGGCCTATCTCGTTCAAGGGACAGTTTGACTTATTTGTCACGAACGACAGGCGCATCGCAGTACCAGACTCCTCGCATCTTTGATCGTAAGTTACCGGATTCAAATCTCGAGTCGGGACAAAAAAATCAGTCAAGAAATTCTCAGTAACTGCTCATTGTCAGGAAGTTGGCAAAGTGCCTTGGAAAGCACGTCATTGGGAGTTCAAGAATGATTTGCAAAATAAAAAAATGTCAACTACAACCCGTTGTATATAATGAAGTTCCCATCCCTTATAATGATGTTGTCAAAAATTTAGGTATCCTTTTGGATTCAAGCCTTTCTTACATACATACATACATATAATCACGCCTCTTTCCCGTAGGGGTAGGCAGAGACCAGTTCTTTCCACTTGCTACGATCCTTACATACTTGTTTTGCTTTGTCCACTTTCATTATTCCCTTCATACATGCTCTACGGTTTAGGGTACTCTTGACCTGGCCTTTTTTCAAGACGTCCCTGATTTAGTCTAGAAATGTCCGCCTAGGTCTACCCCTTCCAACACTTTCATTCACACTCGCCTTATACACTTTTTTCGTCAATCGTTCTTCATTCATTCTCTCGACATAGTTAGTGTAGAGAACCGGAGACCATTTTTACTGGAAACTAGGCATTCCGTCTCAGGCCTCAGGGGTGACAACGTATCTGCATTTTGATTCTTAATTGAGGGTAAATGTAGTTGTCTATGGGCCACAGCATCTACTTATCATCACTATGAAAAAAAACAAAATAACATGTCATTATATTTTCGTTATATTTCAGATCAATGCAGCCTTCTATACCAGTAGTTCTTGACATTTTAATATCCTTGGCGAAGGACGAGTATCCCGAAGTATCTGAGTACTGTGCTAGTGTAGTGAACGCATACTTCGCCGAGGCTTCGGAGGAAAGGAGGCTCGACACTATGGATTGTCTTTGCGAGAACTTTCTCACGACCTTAACAAATCTGCCGAGGATTCTAAATAACATTGGTAAGTTTTCAGCTCTGCACAATTTCTACACTGCCCAACTGAATAATATTAAAATATTTTAGATTCCAAAAGTTTTGTCTGTTTTATACATCCGTTTTTTTAATGACAGCCACATCAACACATAATTAATAGAATCAGGCGTTACTTTGCGGAATTCTTTTATATTAGAGTTGGTATAAAATATTTTGCCTGTATCCGCTCAATAAAGTACAATGATGTCTTACCCAGTTTGAAGAGCACCTCCCGCCCTCCCTCAATTGCGTGCACTATCCCAGTCACCACTAATCCCAGCACCACTACTCCCACCACCACTACACTAGGAAAGACACACCACCGACGATAATACAACGCGCGTTTCGACATTACACGAGGCGTCATCAGGTAATGTATGCCTCATTTATTACACTTACATAGTAAATCCGCTTAATATGACCAATTTGTTTAGTCGGTCAAGCAGCAAAATTCTGCTAGATTACCTGTCAAATGTTTCATAATAATATGTTACATTGAGTGAGCAGGGTCGGATTCAAATATTAGGTAAATAACTTGGAGTAAAAAGAAAATGGTTGATTTCAATAATTTTTTTCTTACAGGACAAAAGAAATTATTATTAGAAAATAACCACTATCTAGTGTACTGAATTTTTCTTAAATTATAATATACTCAGTTTTGGTAAAAATAATATTATTATTATACAGTCCACTGCTGTACATAAGCCTTCACATAGATTGCCGCATTTTAGAAACATTTGCCATAATTGCCACGCTTGGCAGGCGCAGTTTTTTTATTATTTTAAATTACTAAAAAGAATTATAATATAGGTAGTTAGGTTAATTTCTTCTTTATTGTTTCTATTGCTAATTTGCTTACATAATTTATGAATATAATTATTTTGACTATAAGTGAAGACGGCATCCCACTAGGACGAAATCTATTTTCGAAATGGATTAGACACGGAGCGATTGCCACTTGTCTAAGCCCGTGCTTCTGGCTAAGCGTGCTTTGTGGTTCCTTTTTTCCTTTTCTTGGGGGAGTCCTACGGTCCTACGTGACAAATTAAAAAATAAACTACTTGGAAGAGCACCTCGCTCCCCCCACAATTGCGTGCACTATCACTGCCATCACCAAACCGAACAGGAAGTCTTAAGTTTTTTTTCCTTTTTCTAAACTATGTTACTGCCACACTAGGATTTTCTCCTGCATCTTGGAGGTAGCTTACATACATACATTTCACAAGGACAAACATCCGAACCAGGAACAATTATTTGTAGGCCATATATTTGCGGGATTCGAATCCGCAACCCTCAACACTGCTACTCGTTACTAAATCAATGTGCCACGGTGCCGTCAAGTAATTTCACATTGTACGTTATAGACTCGGGCCGCAAACTCGCAGCACTGAACCTTTTGCACGGGTACGTGCGCGTTTTGAGCGACGAGTCACGACCGCAGCGGCTGACTACGGCGATTACGTCACACACAGCCCTCGATGCTCTCTGCGAAGCTCTGCGTCACGCCGCTGCACTCTCCACCGATCTTACGCTGCTCGCCACGCATGCGGACAGAGGTGAGATACGGAGTTTTGTACTTTATTATCTGGAAACAAGGTTCTAAATAGGTATTAATAAAAGTTCCCCTGGGAAGCGGGAATTGATAGCCAGCGGATTGTTGCTCCTGTTTTGAACGACGAGTCTCGTCCGCAGTGACTGACTACAGCAATGACATCACATACAGCCCTCGATTCTCTCTGCGAAGCTCTGCGCCACGCCGCTGCGCTCTCTACCGATCTCACGCTACTAGTCACGCATGCTGACAGAGGTGAGATATGCAGTTTTCTACTTTATTATCTGGAAACAAGGTTCTAAATAGGTATTAATAAAATTTCTCTCAGTTTTGTCGGGAACTTGACCGTCGGCGGATGGTTGGTTCTCTTTTATTGTTTAAATAATGTTTAAAATTGTGTGAATATGAATGGTTTGGGATGGAATTCAAATTGTGAATGTTTAACTGTGTAGTGTCAGTGTAAGAATATCAACTACCCCATATAGTCATGTGGGTATCGTAAGAAACGACAGAGGAAGACGAACTGAAACAAGGGTGAGTAACAAGAGCTGGAGACCTTTTTAACTAGTAACGAGGCATCTCATCGTATTTCGCTAGGGTGACAATTCATTTGCATTTGAATCTTAATCGAGGATAGACGTGTCTGTGGTCACAGTATTCCTCAATCAGCAGGTGGACTTTGTTCTCGTTTATCACCCTTATTTCTATAAAATAAATATTTTGTCCGAGATTAAAATGACATTGTTCTAGTGATAGCTTGTTGTGAATGAATGAATGAATGGATTTATTCTTTATTTTACTAAAAAACCTGTACATATAAAATTGAAAAGTCTGTCTGTCATTTCGAAATAATTGCGATATAGCCAATTTGCATGCCATTAAGACGTTTAATTGTCTGCCTGTCTATTTGTCTCTTGTCTGTACGGGCTAATCTTAATAATGGCTATACCGGATGATTGTGAAACGCTCCCCAAAACGAAGACAGACGATAGTACTAACGATACTTTTGATGATGAGTCAGAAAGGAAATCGATCCCGAGGAAAAAAAATCATCTTTTCACAACGTTTTATTAGCTTTATTCACGCTCCATCATGTTAGTACAGCTAAATGAAAAGATAATTTCATAAAAAAATCATGAAAATACTTAAACATAAAATTCGCAGTGTAATTTAAATCTGCTGTCTAGGGTCAATATCCGCGCGAACGCCGTACTCTTTTTTTCTAGCTCGGTACGAAACTGACGAAACAATGCATTAGATATTACTACCCACTCTACCCTTCGCTTTCACACACGCATACGGCAGCTGCGCACACATTTCAACGTTGCCAACATGTGTGGACTTCCCCAAATTGCGGGGAATTTAAAGTTGGTTGGGGATTTTATGGGGATCGGTATTATGCGGGAAAACGCGGGGATTTTGAAAATCTATAGACAGGGCCAAGTCAGAACCTTTTTTCATGAAATATAAATACTTATCTTAACATTTTTGTTACTTATGAATATCGTTTAATTTTCGGATTTATTTCGGCAACGTTTGTGTATCATTTAATGCTTTTCATTTCTTAATTTTTTAATTTTAAAGCAGAGAACCGCATGCATATAAATGCAGATACTGTGGTACTTTTTAATGGCAACTAGGGAAGGAATTAAAAATACTCCATGGAGTAAAATGCTTATTACAAAAATATGGAAAGTATGAAAAAAAACGGTAAAAAAGAAAAATGGTAGTTAAAAAAATTAATCCTATAAAATTAGTTGAATATTGTTTCATTTCTCAAAATAAAATTGAGGGGAATTTGTGGAGAATCTGTTGAAGTTTTGTCCTTAAATTGGGGAATTTGACATGGATTTTCGGAGATTTGACAAATTGGTTTTGGTATATTTTTATACTCTAATCAGCTGATTTAAATTACACTGCTGGTTTTATGTTATAAGTATTTTCATGATATTTTTTAATATAATTATCGTTTCATTTAGCTGTACTAACACGATGGAGCGTGAATAAAGCTAATAAAACGTTGTGAAAAGATGATTTTTTCCTGGGATCGATTTTCTTGCGGGTCAGAAAAGTATCATCAAAATCGTCAAAGGTATCGTTAGTACTATCGTCTGTCTTTGTTTTCGGGAATGTTTCACAAACACCCGGTATATTATCGAAAAAGAACAAAAAAAAAACTAAAAAATGATAAAATAAATAGTCTTTGATGGTTACCTTAAATCTAAATAACGCCACATTAATAGATCCTGCTCAGACGATACCGGGGCGGATCTCTAGTAAGAAATAAGAAATGGTACATGTAAATACTCGTACATTGGATTACAGCTTGTTAAAAGTATCCGAATCAGCATAATGTTAAAACAGATAGCGCTATTATTCTGTCCGCGCTATTAACCTTTACAAGGTTATTTTGCAAAGAGCAGCCAAATTTTAAACTTCAGTTCAAATATATAAATATTGATATACCGTTATTGCAGTTTTTGAAAACACGAGTAAATAAAGCTTCTCCTTTTATTTGAAATTATCCCAAATTGAAAGTGATTTATGGGCAACGACTACGCGTACGCACGCTCCTGTGTGCGATTCATTACACAATTTTTGTGCCGACCGATCGACCCTTATGAATGTTTGCGTGAGTAGTAAAATAGCACGCGTTAGATATTTATGAATGACAATGAGTTAAAATAATACATTACCACGCATTTTGAATTTAAAAGGACATAATGTTTGAGATTTCTTTTAATAAATTTTTCTTTACTATATTTGCCTATATTACTTATTCTGAACCTTCTCTGCAAATTTGCAAAATAACCCTGTATAACGTTATTGTTTCAGAGCTGACGGCTCCACCACCAACTACCACTCCGTGGCGTATCCTTCGACATTTAGACACGAAGGAATGCGAGCAGCGACTGCAGGATATCTGCCAGCTGCTCGCTGAAGCGGAGTGCGCGGAACTGTTGCTCGATCATCTGCTGGAACTGTTCCAGCAGAGGGAATGCGAGGTGGCCTACATCATGAACTGTTTTGGCTCTGGTAAGTGGGTGAAGGGGGGATATTCAGACAAGCGATTATACATTTAGCTTTTTTGTAGATATGTTCTTTAGTTATTGAATCCAACTAAATGTACCTAACATTACCACGGTAATTATTTCGCAAAATTAAGATCAGTTTGTCGGCGAGTACACGTTCTTAAAAACTATTATGATATACCGACTACCTCCTACATAAAAATATCATTAATTACAAAATAGAAAAGAAATCAAATAATGTACCCTTATAACTAAAACCAGTCACTAGCGTGGTCTAGCGATGAGTATACCTACCTACTGCCATTAATTTTAGTGAGTCCCAAATTCTAGCCAGAGCCTGTTTCTGCAAAAACCAAAAATTATTAGTTCTTGTAGATATTTGTATCGTGGGTATGTCTGTGTGTCTGAAAACGCTTTACTTCCATCAAAAGTTAAAGTTACAGCCTATATACGTCCCACTGCTGGGCACAGGCCTCCCCTAATTTCTGAGAGGGTTTTAGGGCAAGGAAGTGTCCGCCGCGCTGCCTGCCCCAATGCGTGTTGGCGAACTTCACATGTCTTCGAAATATTGTTTTTCTTATTTCTCAGACATGCCGGTTTCCTCACGATGTTTTCCTTCACCGACGAGTGGAGGTGGTAAATCAGCACTTAAAATTGCAATTAACAATTTCATTGGTGCCGGCGGGGATTGGACCCGGTTTGCTCGCGTACTGTCAAATTTACAGCGAGCGCTAACCACCTGAGCTACCACGGTTCCCATTTCGTTGATATTAATATTGTGATAGAAATCGCATATTGATCAGTACCATGAAGCAAATACAAAGAGGAGACGGCATAAGCAACTGTGCACTGTGATTCTAAGTAAATCCTGACGTCATCATAGTGGGCGTGGCTTTAATTAGTATACTGTCAGCATTCGTCATGTGCGCTTATGTGTTCAAAATCGCAAATCGGTGTATTTTCGTAGTATTAAGAAGAAAAGGATGAAGTGTTGTGTTTTATAGTGTAAAAACTACTCAGATAGACGCTCTTATGCTATGGATGGTATCACATTTCATTTGTAAGTAATTTTACACCTAATTTATTAAAATAGTTCTAGAAAAATCTCTTTGCGTCGGCTTTCAAATATAATTAAATATATTCGACACTAGGTGGCGACACTTTGTGTCATGTGAACATCCGTCAATGGATACCAATACCAAAAACGACCAAAAAGTCGTACTATTATATGTTATGTTATTATGGTATCTTTCTTGTTTTTCATAAAATGGATTTATATTTACATTATAAATGCAAACATGAAAAAATATCGAAATTTTAGAAATCGATTTTTTTTGTGAATCGATACATCAGCTTACGATTCGAATCTATTTATAAAATCGATCCTTTCCGGAAAAAATCGACATCCCTACTGACGATGACAATGACAATACAAATAGCGTCAGTTTTACAGTAGGAATTGACATAAATATTGCAAAAATATTTTTATATTTTTTTTTCTCAAAAAGTACTCATCTCCGAAAGTTGAAACTTTGCGTGTGTGCTTATAATAATGTAACCTTTCAGTAGAAAAAATATCAACCCCCCCAACTCGACGGACGTCAATGGAAAGCTAAGCCCTGAAATTTGTTTTGCATTAAGTCCTAAGGAATTTTTAATCGCCAAAATATTATTTTTATAGTTTTTATAATCATTTTGTGAACAGGCCGCGATCTATCGTCAAGGTAGCTAAACTCCATTGCAACATTGATATGGAACGATTTGAGTAGTTTTACTATTTATCGGTACACGTAGATAGTAAAGTGGGTGGGGCTTAACATCCCCTCACCCCGCAAATTGTCACGCGTTGTTACATAGTGAAATCTAATTGCAACACCTCTTTGTATTTGCTTCATGATAAGTACTTAGTTGTTTAATCAAGTGACTAGCGATTCTCCCGGATTCGCACGGTTTTTTCGGGATCATGACATCAACGCCACCTACCGGGTCCAATTGTGAATCTAAACCATTCTCTAATCAACTTAATCATACACACAAAATTCCATCAAAATCAGTCCGGCTCAGTCACATACGCACGGACAGAAGAATTATACAAGATGGCCCATAAGTCGTTAGAAATGTAAATTTCGAATAAAATACAAAAGGCGCGCATGAGTGGCGCGCGCGGTGCGGGGGGAGTACCGACGGTTTCTGGGAATTCAGTCGCCATGGAGCGTTTCACCGGTGCGGACCGTGCATTTTGTGTGCGCGAGTTTTATCGAAACAATGATTCGGCTACCATTGCGCGGCGTAAATTTTGAGAATATCAGAATTTACGCAACTTTAAAGACATTCCAAGTGTTCAAACGATTAAGAACTGGGTTATTAAGTTCGAAGAGAGTGGTTCGACGTTGGATAAACAACGGTCAGGTCGACCAAGGACATCACGGACGGAAGAAAACATCGATGTAGTGAAACACTCAATTCGTGAAAATCCTACCCAGTCTACTCGTAAGCGTTCCAGTGCTTTTAACTTACCCAGAACATCGTTACAGCGAATTTTAAAGAAAGATTTACATCTTCACCCGTACAAGATTCAGTTAGTACAGGAATTAAAAGATACTGACACTATCCACAGACTAAATTTCGCAAATGAAATGTTGAACCGCTTTACTTCGTTTAATAACGTGTCATTCTCTGATGAGGCTCACTTTCACATCAACGGCCATGTCAATAAGCAAAATTGTCGCTACTGGAGTTGCGAAAATCCAAATCGCAAACATCAAAAGCCCTTACATAGCCCTAAAGTGACAATTTGGGCGGCTATGTCAGCGCATGGCATTATAGGCCCTTACTTTTTTGAGGACGGCAGAGGCCGCGCGCTTACTGTTACTTCACAACGGTATGTAGCTATGATCCAGGACTTTTTTACACCAGAGTTGCAGAATTTTCCAGGCTTCAATACGCGGACCTGGTTTCAACAAGATGGAGCAACTGCCCATACCTCTAACGTCGCTATGCCGGTCGTCCGTCAACTTTTCCCTAATAAAGTGATCTCTCGAAGAGGAGATATTCCTTGGCCACCACGTAGTCCAGATCTGACCCCAATGGACTTTTTCTTATGGGGTTATCTTAAGACTAAAGTGTACGAAACCAACCCGCGGACAATTGACGTTCTGAAAGAAAATATCTTAAGCTTACTTGCCACGCAGTGATGGATAATTTTAAATGTCGCTTACAGGAGTGCCGCGATCGTAACGGATTATATTTAGATGATGTAATTTTCAAAAAATAATTCCCATTTTATAAGGATTATGACAAAATAAAAACCTTTTTCATAATGTCATTAGTTTTTTTTTAATTATTTTTTTACATTTCAAGGGACTTGTGGGCCACCCTGTATAATATTGTTACGCGCCACTATTAATGTCTTGTACATGGCAACACTAGTTACACTAGCGCCCCCTAGTGTCGAGTAAATGAAAGTATTGCGCGCCACTATTAATGTCTTGTACATGGCAACACTAGTCACACTAGCGCCCTCTAGTGTCGAGTAGCAGAACTAGGAGAGTCGAGATCCTTCCAGAAATTTCGGGACCGATATGTACTCGAACATTCTAGATGTCGCTACAGTAGAAGGTTCTGGAAACTATCTGAGGCCCTATATAAGGCCGGTATAGACCACGACCGGGGCAGTATTGAATTGGCGATACAAGAGAATACTTCGAAGCGAAATAACGGCGAACTGTGTTTTATTATTAGTGTGATTTTAGATTGTAATTAGTGTTGTGTAATTAAAGTGTCAATTTTGGTAATTCAATCGGCAGTTTTTAATTGTCTCGAACCCCAAGCTCGTAACAATTGGTGTCAGAAGTGGGATCAAATATGCCGATTTTACCTAAAGACGACACGGAGGGTATCCGTACCCGAAGTCAACGCCAACAGGAGACGGACCAGAGACGATTTGGTAATGCAACGCCGCAAACGTCGGAGGGCCAGTTGCTAACCACGGAGGCTGGCCCGTCAGCAGCTCCTGCATCTGCAGCACCTGACTTAGGTGCTCTGATGATGATGCTGCAGGATCAGGCTCGCCGACAGGAGGAACAGGCCCGCCGACAGGAGGAACAGGCCCGCCGACAGGAGGAACAGACCCGTCGGCTGGAAGAGCAGCTGCAGCGCGGTATGGAAGAACAGATGCTCCTCAGGAAGGACCTTCACGCTACCTTCGGGAAAGAGATAAAGGAGGTGAAGGATAGGGTTGCTCAACATGACAACCGCCTGTCGGAAGCTGAAACCCGAATCGACCAAGTGAACAATCGGGTTGACAACGTGATGGCTAATGTGAAGAAAACGCTGGACGACCTCAAACTTGGGGATGGAATCACAGCTCCCGTGGTAGCTACAACACCTTCGCTACGTGGATTCAAAGTGCCGCCGTTCGACGGGAGTTCTTCCTGGTCGGCCTACAAAATCCAGTTCGAGGCTGTCATGAAAGCGAACGGCTGGAATAAAAGTCAGGCCATGACTGCTCTCACCCTAGGCCTACGCGACCAGGCCTTAACTGTTTTGGAAGCGCTCGGTAAGGAAGTGACTTACGAGCAGCTCATTGAGGCATTGGAGGCGAGATATGGCGATGCTCACCTGGAACACGTCTTTCGTGCGCAGCTCAAAGATCGCGTGCAACGCAGTAACGAAAACCTGAAGCTGGTTCGAAAAGCGTACCAGTCTGTACCTGTGCTCATTGTAGGGAACCTGGTGCAGACTTTCATCGACGGCATCCGCGACCTTGAAGTCAGAGCTGCTGTGAGGCTCGGGCACCACGAGACGCTTAAGGACGCCCTGACCCATGCACTGGAGGTGGAAGCCGTGCGGCAGGATCATCGTTCCCACCGCGTCAGGGAGGTTGCAGCAGCTACAGTTCAGGACCGCAATAAGGGCTACAACCCTAGGTGCTACGGCTGTGGGGAAAGGGGCCATCTTCGATCCAGCTGCCCTAAACGAACTGTAGGAAGGGAAGGTGATCGA